GAATCGATAACCGCCAGAATTCAACAACTTGTTGGCTGGACATTCCATGGGGGGACAACTCCTTTCCTGTGCTGGTTGTCATCAGACACAAGACAATACTTTTACCAAGTCAGTGAGGGAGTAACTGGGGCGTTGGTCTCCCGTTGTGTAAATTTTCATAATTTTCTAGATCCGTTTTCCGGCGTTCCTAACTCGGTGAATAAATGTAATAAACAAACATACAGTGTATTGATTTGCACTCATAGAAAGAAGTAGCAAGATAGAGAAGAAAACATTATAAAACATAATAATTGAAAGCTATAGTTACCGTGCCGGGATTCGAACCTGCTCGCTATGGAAACAAGTTCACTTCTAACATGGTCAACTAGGCATCCCCAATAAAAGTGTCTTCATTGGTCACATCTATCGTACAGCTTAAAATCCACAACTATGGAATATGGACATAATTCATCTCAAACCACTGAAATGGCCCCATAGGTTACAGAAATGTATATTAAAGAAGCATGGGTCGAACAACAAAAACGGCATTAATTTACGAACACGTTAAACCTTAACGCATAGTCTAGAATACACAAACATTAAGAAAAAGATTTGATTGGTAGGTTCCATTGTGTATACTTCATTCACATAATAAACAGAGGGGGACCCTTGAGGTCGTATAAATGTTAAATGTAAAAAACAGACAATGAATTGACTGGCATTCATAGAGAGAAGTAGAAAGATGGAAGAACACATTAGACAACATAAACATTGAAAGCTGTAGTGATCGTGCTGAAAATAACTCGGTGAAGGACACCATCAAAGGCGGGTTCATATAACGGTTGTACTTCGTTCTTTTCAAATTCTGGGTTCTTTTCACATTCTCGTTTCTTTCCTTCTGACTCCTACTTACTTGGGTACCCTGATAACATCAGATAAAAGAATTATTAAAGAAGTTAAATATAGAATAGCTCAAGCAAATGCAGCATTTTACAACGTGAAGAATATTTCATGCAATCTTTCTTACTCAATTGAGACGAGAAAGAGATCTCTTAAAAGCTATATAATCCCTATCTTGATATATGGAAGTAAATCATAGCCAGTTGGTAGATTAGTGAAAGATTATTTGAAAGCTGCGGAGATGTGGTTTTATAGACAATGATGAGTATATCCTGGACTGATAAATAAGAAATATGAGGATGCTTAAAAGAAACTGGCTCGCGAAGAGAACTGATTGCCCACATCAGAAAGAGACAATCTACATTCTTTGGTCATGTGATGAAAAGGGGAAAACTGGAGTACATTATGACAGTAGGATAGTTGGAGGGGAGAAGAGACAGAGGGAGACTGAGAGAAAAGACCCTGGACAGTTTGACTTCATGACATGGAGGGTCATTTGTGTTAGACCTGACTGAAAGTACACGAGACAGATTGCGGATAGACATGACTACAACTCCCACACGGCATGGACTTTAAAAAGAAGAAGAAGAAGAAGAAGAAGAAGAAGAAGAAGAAGAAGAAGAAGAAGAAGAAGAAGAAGAAGAAGAAGAAGAAGAAGAAGAAGAAGAAGAAGAAGAAGAAGAAGAAGAAGAAGAAAAAGAAGAAGAAGAAGAAGAAAAAAGAAGAAGAAAAAGAAGAAGAAAAAAGAAGAAGAAAGAAGAAGAGAAGAAGAAGAAGAAGAAGAAGAAGAAGAAGAAGAAGAAGAAGAAGAAGAAGAAGAAGAAGAAGAAGAAGAAGAAGAAGAAGAAGAAGAAGAAGAAGAAGAAGAAGAAGAAGAAGAAAAAGAAGAAGAAGAAGAAGAAGAAGAAGAAGAAGAAGAAGAAGAAGAAGAAGAAGAAGAAGAAGAAGAAGAAGAAGAAGAAGAAGAAGAAGAAGAAGAAGAAGAAAACTCCTTGTTCTTTTTTCATTCTAATGTTTCATCTTTGTCTAATTCTCTTCGCACACGAGTTCTCTTCTCGCTAATATTTCTTCTGCCGCTCTTTTCTCTTCCCACGATAATTTCTCTTCTTGATTTCCTTTTGCTTCATACCTAACTTCTCTTCTCATACGCTGTTCTTTTCTCATGTTTGTGCTCATGCTAATTTCTCTTTTTGTTCTGTGTTCCCTTCTCATTCGCTGTTCCTTTCTTATTCTTTCTTTTCTTCTCACACTTTGTTCTCTTCTCACACTTTGTTCCCTTCTCACACTTTGTTCTCTTCTCACACTTTGTTAACTTCTCACACTTTGTTCCCTTCTCAAACTGTGTTCTCTTCTCAAACTTTGTTATCTTCTCACACTTTGTTCTCTTCTCACACTTTGTTTTCTTTTCACACTTTGTCCCTTCTCACACTTTGTTCTCTTCGCACACTTTGTTCTCTTATCACACTTTGTTTTCTTCTCACACTTTGTTTTCTTCTCACACTTTGTTCTCTTCTCACACTTTGTTCTCTTCTCACACGTTGTTCCCTTCTCATACTTTGATCTCTTCGCATACTTTGTTCTCTTTTCACACTTTTTTTCTCTTCTCCCCCTTTGTTCTGTTTTCACAATTTGTCCCCTTCTCAAACTCTGTTCTCTTTTCACACTTTGTTTTTTTTTCCTCACACTTTGTTCTCTTCTCACACTTTGTTTTCTTCTCACACTTTGTTCTCTTCTCACACTTTGTTCTCTTCTCACACTTTTTCTCTTCTCACACTTTGTTCTCTTCTCATACTTTGTTCTCTTCTCACACTTTGTTTTCTTCTCACACTTTGTTCTCTTCTCACACTTTGTTCTCTTCTCACACTTTGTTCTCTTCTCACACTTTGTTCTTTTCCCACAATTTGTTCTCTTCTCAAACTGTGTTTTTTTCTCACACGTTGTTCTGTTCTCACACTTGGTTATCTTTTCACTCTAATTTCTCTTGCCATTCGATATTCTTTTCTAATTCTTTGTTCTATTCTCATTCCTCTTAATCTTTTTACTCTCTGTTCTTGTCTTACTTCCAGTACTCTTATCACACTTACATCTATTCTCACTCTTTGTTCTCTTCTCAATCTCTTATTTTTTCTTAAATTTATTTCTCTCCTCATAATCAGTTTTCTCTTTTTTTAGATTGATTCTCGTATTAGTTGGTCTGTCTGTCGATATAACTGTGTTGTTAAAAAAAAAGGAGAAAGTAAAAACAATGAGAAAGAAAGAGAGAGGGTGAGAGAGAGACAGTCAGGCAGACAGACAGACAGACAGATAAGCATAACGACAGCGGGTGAGAGAGTGACAAAAAACGCATAGCTTTGCTGAACTGAAGTAGATTAACAGACTTTCATATAGATATACATACAGATGGATAGGCAGACATATTGACGGACATATAAACAGATGGATATAAAAACAGACATGTAGAAAGACAGACATACGTACAGATTAATATACAATACGGACATGCATACAGACGGATAGACAGACATACGGACAGAAAAAAAAAGAATCTTAAACAAAATTTGTTGCAGTCGGAATCAAAATAAAACAAACAAGATTATATAGTTGTAAGACGCAAAGATTGTGGAGATAACTCTTGCAGATAAAGTGACAAGTAATCGCCCCATTACTTGTCAATCACTAGCGTCAGGTAATCGATAACCGCCAGAATGCAGCCACATGTTGGCTGTACACTATTCTTCTTCTTCTTCTTCTTCTTCGCGTTCACTACTGAACTGCAGTCCTGCTCCAGAGCCTGAGTGTTGCGTGTGCATCAGTTTTACAGATCTCATTCTCTTGAATACACTGTTGGTTCCTTGCCTCTCCGGCAGATGCACCCGACTTCAAAGGAAGTTCCCTAATTAGTCGACTCTTACGACATGCTTTTGGGGAGGCCGTGGGTCTATTCTTGTTTTCCCCACAATGGGGCCCCGGAACCCACACGGGGGTGTACATTATTCATCTCCTGTGCTTGTGGCTTTCAGGTTTGAGTTTTGAGGTTTGGACAACGGATCAGCATCATGACACACGGGTAGTAACTCATAAGTGCTCCGTTCTTCTTCTAACTCAAGTCTGAGTCTATATAAAGCTCAGCACAGTGCACAAGCTCTGTAGCACCGGCGAAGATCCTGGGAGGCTTTTGGATAGATTTGTAACTCCAAATTTTGGCCGGGCAGCTCCGTTAGGCTACTCTTTTCGATTTCCAACTGCCAAGGAGTTTTTTTATGTGCGCAACAATACACACGGGCGTCCGATCTCATTACCCAGAGACCAGGGGGAATTACTAGAAGTCCAAGTCCAAGTGAAAAAATCCCGGCCCTAACCGGGGATTGGACCCGGAACCTCTAACACTCGAGGCGGACACCCTGCCTCCAGACCACGCAGCCCCTCCATTTATCTCATGTGCTTGTAGCTATCAAACACAAGATAATACTTTTACCAAGTCCTTGAGGCTGTATCTAACGTGTTGGTTTTCCCTTATGCGATTACTTCCCAGATCTGTTTTTGCGTTTTTTGAACTCGCTGGTAACGGTCACTCACGGTTATCTCCCCACTTTGGGTTTTTTTCTCATTTTTTTCTCTCTCAACACTTTCAGTTCCCCTGTAAAACTCATTTCTCTTCTGTCTTATCACTCTCATTTCCCTTGTAAACCTCATTTCTCTTCTATCTTACTTCTCATATCACTCTCAGTTCCCCTGTAAACCTCATTTCTCTTCTATCTTACTTCTCTTATCACTCCCAGTTCGTTTCTCTCCTTTCTCTTCTATCTCTTAGTTATCTTCTCACATTTCGCTTCTCCCGCCTTTATTTCCATCTTAACTTTCAGTTCTCTTATCATTCTCATTTATGTTTTCACTCGCAGTTGACTTATCTTCTCATGCTCATTAATTTTCTAATCTCAATCTCAGTTCTTTCACAATTCTCATTTCTACTCTCACTCCCAGTTTTCCTCTCACTCTCATTTCTCTTCTCACTTTCCTTTATCATTTCTTTTTACCCTCATTTCTTTTCTCACTGTCTGTTTCTGCTTGCACACTCCGTACCATAAACATTAATGTTGAGATGATCCTTCTCAATCCAACAGGCGATCCCTTGAAGATTGGGATCGAGGTAATCCTAGCAAGTTTTGACAGTATCTCAGAGGTCAACATGGTAAGTCACTTTGTTTCAATCAACCAATAGGTACCACTATAAATGTGTACGTGTGTGTTATTGTGTGTGTGAGTGTGGTGTGTATGTATGTATGGTGTGTTTGTGTATGTGTGTGGTGAGAACGGAGAGGGGGTACAGTTTCAGAAAAGTAGGGCAGGAGCCGACCACAGCGAATATGAATAAATGACATTGAGGATACATTGCCTATGAAAGCACACAGGGCAGAATATATATATCCATCCATCATTTAGCAGGTCCTTTGCAGAACGTCGCTCTCATCACAGTCTGCCTGAAAGAAACTCTGTCTCTCGCCAGTTCTCCCGCCTCTTGCACTTTCATACTCAAGGAGTCACTTATATCCTGTGCCCATCTTTGTGTCAGTCGACCCCTGCCCCTCCTTCCTGGTACCATGCCTTCTGCTATAATTTTTTCCAATCAGTCGTAGCGCTTATATATTTATAAGAAGAGTAAATATTCCTGTTGGCCATATTTGTACAACTCCTGAATATTCATGAGCAGGCCTTCTGTGTTGTTGTTAATCTGGCAGATAACGGAGTTTGCAACAACGGATTCGTTTTTCTGTAGAGTGGAAAAAGTATATGATATTTAAAGACGAGAGAGGAATCAACATCGCAGGATATAATTTCGACACTATTGGATGTGCAGGTGACGCAGTATTGATTGCAGAATATGATTCGCAGCGACGTTCATTGGGTGGAATATGTAGCATGACAGCTCATCCTTTACCCATATATGGCAGCAGGTTGCACAAAGGCGGGGCTGCTGAGACACAGAAAACATTATAGAAGGGTCATGGAAGGGGCGGGACAACCTCTTATAAGTTTCCCGGCGGGAAAGGGTGGGGGGGGGGGGGGAATGTTAAACCTTGCTTAAGTACGTTATTTTATGTCTGTCTGTCTGTCTGTCTGTCTGTCTGTCTGTCTGTCTGTCTGTCTGTCTGTCTGTCTGTCTGTCTGTCTGTCTGTCTGTCTGTCTGTCTGTCTGTCTGTCTGTCTGTCTGTCTGTCTGTCTGTCTACGTACGTACGTGTGTGTTTGTGTGTGAGTGTGCGAGTGAGTGAGTGAGTGAGTGAGTGAGTGAGTGAATGAGTGAGTGAGTGAGTGAGTGAGTGAGTGAGTGAGTGAGTGAGTGAGTGTGCGAGTGAGTGAATGTGTGAGTGAGTGAGTGAGTGAGTGAGTGAGTGAGTGAGTGAGTAAATAGTTCATTTTTTGAAAGAGTGACTGGCTAGTTTGGCTGAGACAACACTAGGGCTGTAAGTTCCATCGGCACGACCACGGTGTCTGACAGCAAAGTGAAAAGAACGTGTCCCGATACTCGACCTCTGCGTTCAGAATAGCGTGACTAAGGGGAAATAATCAGTCGCCTACTCAGGTGAAATAATCAAATAGTAATTGGATGACAAGTTAAAGAGGAGACAAAAGTACAAGAAACATCACTCACCTACGTGCTTGTAATATCTCATTTACAGATAGGACTCACCCACACACCTGTCATGCGTGATCCAGACATCTGTCCTATCTTACCCACACACATGTCCTATCTCATCCACACCTCTGCCCTATCTCACCCATACACCTGTCTTAATTCACCCACACACCTACAATGAATCACCCACACTCCTGCCCAACCTATCATGTTTTGTCCTTTTTAGGATGGAATTTTTTGTTATTTGAAGCCCCACCCTGGCTCTTGCCAGGGGCCGCAATATAGGCAGGCCATAAATATGGCCAATTGTCTGAACGCGGTTTCTGGGACCTCTCCATGGTGATCCTCATCCACATAGTGGCACTTTGTGTCATCGGGTGTTTATCGCTTGTGTGATATCATAGTGGGGTAGAAAGTCAGTCAGTCAGACACTCCTGCCTCTGATCATCGACATCATCCCCTTGTGGGAAGCAATTTTTCGTTATTTTGAAGCCCGCACCCTGCCTCACCCACACATCTGCCTCATCTCATCCAAACACCTGTCATCTACCTCATCTCATTCAAACACTTGTCATCTCTCTCATACACACCTGTTATATTTCATTCACACACCTGTTGTAACCCCCCCCCCCCCCACACACACACACCTCTGCCATAACTGTAGCATTGCTTCCATCACTGCCCCAGGACTACACCATCACCATGTATTTGAACCAGTACTGGCGCGACGAGAGGCTGCAGTTTGTCCACCCGGGCACTCCCAACTTCTTGGGAACCTTCGCAGTGTCAGCCATGACACTCACGGGAGCCTTCGCCGAAAAGATCTGGGTCCCTGACACCTTCCTGGCCAACGACAAGAACTCCTTTCTCCATGACATCACCGAGAAGAACAAGATGGTCCGCCTCTATGGCAACGGATCTCTGGTTTACGGCATGAGGTCTGTGTGTCCTTTTCCTGTGTCTGTTTACTCGCTGTAACATTCTACAGACGTCTCTCTAGCCGCAGCATTTATTTGATGTTTATGTCTGTTACTTGATACAATGCCTTGTGACACCATACCATACAAAGCATACATGGAAAGAGAAAAAGGACGTAGAGAACGAGGTAGACCAAGAACAAAATAGAAGGATAACATCAGAGAAACTCTACAACAGCACGATGTGCCTATGGTCGAGGCGGCCAGAAGAGCTAGAAACAGAACCTTATATCTCCCTCGAAACCCACAGCGGTAAAAGAGGAAGTGAAGAAGAAGAAGGAGACTTGTTACTTGTCCGAACCGATACCCTAGCACATCGATCCGACCCATTTGTGCTCCGTGCACGTTTGTTTATGTTTATTCAACGGATCAATATTATGGCGCAGGGGCGTTACCCATAAGCGCTCCGTTCTTTATCTAACTTAAGTCCAAAGAATCTCATCGCAGTTCACGAACTCTGTTGCACAGACGAGGATCTTGAAATACTTTGGGTAGATTTTCAACTTTAAATGTTGTCCAGGCAGCGCCGTTAGGCTACTCTTTTTTATTTCCAACGGTCAAAGGAATTTTTACGTGCGCAACAATACACACTGGCATCCGGTTTTACTACCCAGAAACCAGGGGGATATTACTAAAAATCCACGTGACAAAATCCCAGCCCTCACCGGGGCTTCAACCTGGGATCTCTAGCACTTGAGGCAGGCCAATGCTTCGAGAAAACTCAGTCCCCCTAGCTCCGTGAATGTAAACCCAACAACACCAAACGAATCACTGAGCCATGTGGACAAATGGCGACGTCACCTGGTCGATTTTGGCTCGCGGTTGTGGGGCCTTATTTCAGCATCTGCTTGGCTCCATTCAGCACAATATCTGCCCAGGGTGATTATTACCTCTGTGTGCTCCTTCAATTGTTTTGATGTTTGCATCATTCAGAACAGTGTCCAACATGTTCCAATAGGCAAATCTGGTCCGTGACAAATCTGGTCAGTGACAAATTTGGTTTGTGACAAATTTGGTTTGTGACGAATTTGGTTTGTGACAAATCTGGCTTGTAACACATATGGTTTGTGACAAATCTGGCTTGTGACAAATTTGGTTTGTAACAAATCTGGCTTGTGACAAAATTGGTTTGTGACAAATTTGGTTTGTGACAATTCTGGCTTGTGAAAAATCAGGTTTGTGACAAATCTGGTTTTTGTTTGTGAAAATCTGAAGCTATATTGTTATACTTTTCGTTTGTGTTGATATCTTGAGGAGCGGGTTCGAATCCTCGGTAAGGCTGCCCTAACCTGCACAAACGTGGCGATAACACTAAATCCTCAGGCTCAAATACCCCTCCCCCCCCGGAGAATCGACTTCATTGTACCGGGTTTTATCCGATATGGCCCAGTCTCTCTCCACAGAACAGCTAGCTGCCTGCCGAGAGCGTCGCACAGAGCACGACCCCCATAGCTTCCAGCGACGATCCCCATCGATCTCTGTAAAAATTGCACTCGTGAACTGAACGAACCCACAACCTTCTGAACGCCAGACAAACGGCTTGACCACTTCGCCACGGACACGACACCCAGTATGCAATTAATGATGACATCTTAGGCTCCGGTAGTATGCACTTGGTGCACATTTCGCTAGTTGTTTTCTGAACTCATTAATGACCGAACAGCTTCGTGTAGTGGACGCTTGATTATGACAAGTAAGTCAGTGCACTCAATAAGACGCTAGTTTTGCACAGTGTGCACATAATAATAATAATCATCTTCAGTTTCCACTTCTGCCATTAAAAGTTGTGGGGAGAAACAAATTGCGATCCAATGCTTGATGGGCAGCAATGGCTACTGTCATTTTATGTCGATGTAGAAACTCTTTAACGTCATCAATCCATCTCCTCCTAGGATGACCTCTTGCTTTCACTTCAGATCCTTTCATGTGTAGCGCCTACGTTGGTAGTTCTTCTGGCCGCATCCTTACTAAATGACCAAAACCATTTGATCCTCTGTTTGTCAATGAATTTGCTCCATGGTGTTGTTCCTACAGTGTGCCTGATAATATAATTTCCAACTTTGTCTTGGAGCACATATTAATTAGATGCTAAATTCATGTTCATTGTAGTGTGAATTTATTGTTAACACGAGTTCTTGTGACATTTGTTGTATAGGCACAATATGCGAAAGTCGTCCCCATTAGGAATGCAAATTTTTGTTTAATTTGAAGCCCCACCCTGGCTTCTGCGGGGAGCCCTGAATATAGCCTGGCCATAAATAAGTCCTGGGGGGGTACAATAACATCAGTGACACAATTCTGCGTAGTTGTGCGAGCCTTTGATTATTATTAATAATATAAAATTTATATTTCGTTATGCTGCTTCTGTTTTATATTGTAAGTAAATTTTTAATCGGATGGTTAAAAATAAAACTAATTTCCTGGGCTAGATGGTTATACTTCAATGTTTTCAAATATCTAAAATATGCTTGTTAAAAAAAAAGAAAAAAGGGCCCTTAAACCATGCCTTTAGGGTATAGGCAATAGGGAGACTATTTTTTATAGACCAATCGCACAAAATGGATGATGTGGTCACCTCATGGGGGCCCTTTTCTTTCCGGGGGCGACCCGGTTTTACTCAAAGGCTGGGTCGACCTAGGAGTCAAGGCATTTTTTTTAAAAAATCCGGGTTTTGCCAGGGAGCGAACTCATGATTTTTCGATCCCCTACGCCCGGGACTCCCCAAAATATGCTTTTATTGTGGTAAAAGTACGGGGTTTTTTTTTGGTCCTTCCGTCAAAAACCCCCCCGTATCTTGTGCGTAGTCTCCATCTATCCAAAGAGATGGGTAGCTGTTCGGGGTATAAGTGTGTCTTTAACTAGAAAGAGGGTGTAAATTTACATAGGGAGTGACGGGGTATTTAAGGGGTTTTTAGTTTAGTAGGGAAAGTTCCTCTCAACACATTCCCTCCCCCAGATTTAAAGGAATATAAATTTAGCATGTTGTTTCAGACCAGCCTGGATACCAAGAAAAAAAACCATATTTTCTCGAAGTCTTAACATTGCTGCAATTTGGGACCCCCAAGAGAAGGGAAGGAATTTTTTGATGCTACATACAAAAGAAATAATTAACAGGGCAAATGATTCCTCCGTCATCTACCTCTCCCGGTTTATTTGAATAATTAAAAAAATTTTTTTATTTTGAGCCCACCCCAAAGGGATTTTATCCAACGTTTAATTAAAATGTAAAAAACGACATTTGAATTTTAAAAACTATTGTTTAAAAGT